CAACCATTTGATTGCGTTTTTGTATGGCTTTTCTATAAGTGCTCGACGTAGCTATTCAGCGGCCTTTTCCGTCACCGGATAGCCTTGCATTGCTTCTGGCATTCCAGGTACCGTGGACCACTACATATCTCAGTGATTCAAGTAATGACAGGTATACCCATTCTAACCTCATACAATTTTGACCCGATTCGACAGTCCTTTAACTTCCTGCCTTTGAAATTAACGTAGAAGCTAGTTTCATCGTCAAATACCGCGAAAAAATGTGCTTGACGAAGTCGTCAGTGGTGTGCCCGCCAAGGCATCTTAGGAGAGTCTAATACGAGAGATAATGAGTAATTGGTTAGCCTACCAGCTGATTCCGAAAGTCGTCTAATTGTCGGCAGAAATCAGCTGTCGATCATAGCTGTTGGTCTACTGGACTCCTTAGCAGCTGCTTGGCTGGGAGTTTTCGGTCGTTACAGAACCAACACCTCCAACTGACGTTGATGTCCCAGTAGCCTGTGCCGGTTCTTCAATAAAATATCCACTTTTTTCTGAGTGGTGCGGTATGCCGCAAATCAGCAGCTGGATTAGCTCCTGATCGTTTGGCTGTAATACTTAAAGAAGAATTTGAAGGAGGGGTTACGATCGAAGTTCTACTGGTCTCCCGTTGGAAGGGTATCGAAACAATCATTAGCGTTCTCTTGTGTTTTCTGAAAAGTATAACAGCATGATTTCGGGCGGCCTACCGGCGACAATCCCTTGTAGCGATAGATATCGAGTAGATATATAGGAATAGCGATTTATCTAGATATGTATGTGATTGTTTACTCTGTTTATGCAATCTGAAATTTCGTTGGTTGGCGTTTTTTAGTCATATTACCATGTCACACACGCTATTTTCTCCCGCGAACGGTGGGACGTGACTCCCCTGCACTTACTTGCTTTTATTGACTTAAGTCTGTTCATTCCTGCAATCTCTTGTCAACCATACTTAGGCAGGAATCAGAGAGAACACGTAGGCACCGAATTAGGAGGTATGGGGACGATGATTTCCGAGAAATTGTGGAGGCGGTTAAGATAAAACGCAAATCGGAAAATCTCGCTTAGAGCGCCATGTATCGGCGCAGTTCTGTCCGAGTTTATGGAAGAGAACAGACAGACGTCGAAAGGAATCATGCAGGAGTCTCGGAGGACGCAGAAAGTCACATGGCCGTTATTGTTGGTACGGAAACTTGTTATCTCGTCATCAGCGCGACGGTGGTCGGCGATAGATGAGACGCTCTACCTACCAAGAGGCGAAAGCATATACATATGTATGCTCTTCATTACGCTCGAATTGGATTTGGTGGATCTAGGGGAAATTTCGGAATAAGACTTCGGTTACAAGACTCCAACTCCGTGCTCGTCGTCAACGGACTGTAAAAAGTCTTCGTCCTCCCTATCCTTCTGCCCTTTCTCGAGGTATACGAATTTTCCCATACATGCTCTTATCACTCACAACGTTCGCACCCGTGGTAACCATTTGTATTTTCACCAATAGAAGCGAAGAGACGAGTCTCAGAAAGTGGTCATCCGCATTCTTAATTTGCTTAACAAAAGCCCTGGCGGACGCATCACAAATTACAGTACCAACACGAGTAGGCTGGCTGATGTCCTCGCTGTGGATTTCATATTCTCGTAGAGATCTTATCTCACTTACAACTAACCTACAGAAAGCGTATACATCCGACAGCTTTCCGCCTCCGCAATAAATCCCTACTGGGAAAGGGTCCCGTAACTCTTTCTAAAAGGGGGCACTTTGCAGTTTTCGATCTCCCATAAACCTGGAGACCGTCAATAGCCTCCTGAATTCCTAGATTACCTGCCAAATAGACAGCATTCTTACGTGTAATCCTGTGAACTTGCTTTTTCAAGCCCACGTGCACATACTCGCCGCCACCAATGTGTCTTACCTCCAAGTCATACACTGCTCTCAAGAGAGTTCATAGGCCTGCCGGCATTTGAGCACGACCGGCCCAAAATATCCAGAAGGACTCGTGGGTGAGCATGCGCTATGCTTTGACGAAAGGCCCATTCACGTAATCTGAACGTATAAGCGCATAACCTATCAGCGGTAACGGCTATAATTCAGCATCCTCGTGTACTCTCTGATTCCTGCCTACATATTGTTAGCAACGGAATTGCAGGGATGAACTGATATAGATCAGTAAAAGCAAGTAAGTGCAAGAGCAGTCGCGTCACCTCTCCCACGCCGTTCACGCGAGATAGTGGCGCGTACGCGCACGTGCGATATCGCAATACTGTAGTGGCCGAACACATTGAGGGTAGCACACACGGGGTAACGTGGAGCACTAGATATGATTCCTGGCCAATCTGATCTTAAGAGAGTTGTGAAAGGGGTCATTGATCTCCTCCAAGCTGACAGTAAAAAAAGTCAAATGGGGCGGATGCGTATACTAAGAGCAACGAGATAGGTACATAGGGAAATGTTAAACTATGCAAAGGGGGCCGGATGAAAATTACAGCAGATGTGATGATCCGTCTGGATGAAGGGGCGATACCAGCTGGACAACTGGTGGGGAATGTAGCGCTGTCGGCAACTGCGGGGTGGGGCCGTAGAAAGTGCCGACGCAGAGCAGGAGATACGGAACGGTAACGGCAGGAGAGGAGTCGGCGGGGATGTGAGAACAGAACACCGGTTATTTTCGCCGACACGCGGTCACACCATCTTCATCCTGGATCCGCGCTCCAAAAGTGTCACGACATCCAAACAACCCTGTTCAGTTCAAGGGACGTTACAATACGACTAAAGAACTGCAACCACTGAAATGTCAGACTGCCTAAGCGGAGTAACCAATTACAGTAGGTGGGCTAACTCATGAAATGTCAGCCGAAATTTCGAAATGCGTCCCCGTTTCGAAAAGATTAATTAAGTAGGATTGTGAGACTAATCATCATACAGCATAATTCTATAATAATTCAGTTACCTCAGGCTATCGGCTTTCAAATGAACTTTTTTCCGACTGCATGCAAGAACTATACTCTGCAAAAAATGATTACTTAAGTAGCATGCGATTTTCTCATTGACTTTCGATGCCCTTAAAAATGCAATTATATTTCATGGAAAACATGCATAAAAATATTCATTCTTTTGCTCATTCGGTAGAAATGGAAGGGTATAATTCGGTTTTAAAAAGTTTCTAATTGTGCGATTTTTTGATACGTGAAATGGCCATTCATAAAATGTCATGTCTCTGCATTTACTAATGTGGTTTGTAAAGTTAACAATATGGCTCAAATGCACTGCTAAATTTTATGAACTCCACATGGTCTTCTCTTAATACTGTAGAGAAATGTATGATTTTCCATACGCAGAAAATATACGGCTTGTAGTTTGGAAACCCTGGATGCAAGTGTAACGACAGGTCGGGTTCAAATGTATTCGGAAATTGGAAAAGTTTTTGAAAACCGAATCACACCCTTTCTTCGAGTATATAATTGAAAGAAGACGTAATTTTCTACCGAATGGGCGGAAGAATGAATATTTTTATTCATGTTTTCCATAAAATATAATTGGGCTTTTAGGGACATCGGAAATCAATGAGAAAGTTGCATGCTACTTAAGTAGCCATTTTTTGCAAAGTACAGTTCTTGCATGCAGTCGGAAAGAAGTTCATTCGAAAGCCGACACCCCGTTTAATTAATCTTTTCAAAACGGGAACGAATTTCGAAATTTCGGCTGACATTTCATGAGTTAGGCTGTCTACTGTACATGGCAGACATACATATCTCGATAAATTGCTATTCCCCTATATATCTACTCGATATCTACTGCTACTAGGACGTAGTCGGCTAAAGTTTCATTAGGGATACAAGCAGTGCTGCGTACAAAGAACCTGTTCCAAACAAACGACATCATAAAGACTAGTCAGTTGGAGTATTTACCTTGTGAAAAACTTGTGATGTACGTGCAGATTACTCTCAACACCAATAATGCTGTTACAGTGGCCGAGTGGTGCTATTGTTAAGGGCGTTTGTCCCCTAAACGGCCGAATTTCTGGTTTCTACAACGGGCCTGATTAAATGCGCAGTGGTCGGTCTTATCATCAACCCTCAAGTTTGTGTCAAATGGCCGTTATATGTGATGGAGACTGACTTAGTTCGTATGTATTTTAATACCTACATTTAATTTGCCCCTAAAGGAATGAGATGAAATGGCGCTCTCCACCTACAAGGTTTTTTCGCTTCCCCGTTTACTGTCGTTGACAATATCTAGTCACAATTTTATCCCAGCTTGCCCCTGCGGAGTTAACTTGCACACAGACAGAATTACGTGCCCAACAGAACTTTTGGCGATGCCTGTTGCTTTCTTCAACATCGTCCGCACACAACCGAAATTACTGCAAGAGGGCTATAATTAAGCAACTCTGCATTCTTAAGTTTGCATATTGACAGTACGTCCACATAAAGTCTACGGTCACTGAGTCGTTTTCGGTAGACAGAAAATTATACGATTAGGTCAAGCTGGGCAGGTCGAGCACCTAAGAAGTGTTGCGAACGTCGCCAACCCTTGTTTGATTATTTCTTCCACTTTCGGATGCAGGCTCCTGTCCATTAGGCAATCTCATGGAGCACTTCAGTTGGCCCACTAGAGGGCAGAGGAAGCAAATAAGCGCACGGCGGAGGAGTGTCGGAAATAGTTTCTTACATGGCATTCATTTTAGGGAGACTACCACTCTCACCAGTCTTCTCAACTTTCGAATGGACCTGAAGTCCAAAGTGACTTTGTCTGCGTTATGTACTACTGCTCGATTTTTTGTTTCGCCTACTTATCAGACCATTACCGACAGCTGAGCCAAGCGATGTCATAATTTGACGCCAATTTCACTCATCCTTCGGGACCCTATTATTTTGTAGGCTATCGATCGCTACTCTCTTAGCTGTCAGTTCTTTACTCTCATTTTACGCCATCCCTGTTTTTTTTATCTTTCACGTTTCTAGAAATCTAACGTGGGCGTATGACAATTTCAGCACAAGCCACGGAAGGAGCCCCCTTGGCCAACACCGACCAAGGCAGTCGCAATGAGTGCATACCCTTAGTAGTCACTCTGCCACAACTGGCCGAGTTCCTCAAATCGAATGCTTCTGGTTAGTTTCGGCCTTTGCAAACCCAACTAATATCTTGATTCCATCAGATCCGTTAGACCCCTTCTCACTCGACCACCTCCGTGTGCGTGCCGGCTTCGATGATATTAAAGCTCGCGCCAAAGTATGTTCATCTGATTTTCCGTCTCTGGAGTTAATCTTTCCTGTAAAAATAACATTTCTGAGCTTAGAATTCTGGGACTTATCTGCGTCATTACTAAGATTTCTGGACCATGTTTTTGTCCATTTTTTTCTGACGCAAAACCATTTAAGTCCGTCGTCTACATTATCGGGGTCCTTTAACGTAAACAAGCTTATAACCATGCTGCACAGTCCTTCTAAGAGGGACGACTCTCTTTCTGTTCAGTGTTCTAACGATCCCATTTTCTGGGTCTTTCTGCAGCATTTTCCCGGTTATTTAGACAGCTGAAGTAATTTGTTCGCTGTTTCTTCGTCGCAAAATGACGGCATAATGTGACGCGAGGCTCAAACCGCTGCATATGCAGTCACTCGTCGTTTGGTTGAGTTTATGCAACTAAGGAAACTAACATGAGGAATATGTAATTTAATTAGCAGTTCCTGGCCGACGGTCTGAAGGATTTCGCGTTCCTCAGACAGATCGCACTAAATGGCCCTGTAGGACACGAGATGTCTCGTTTGCCATTGTCTTCATCATTTTTTGATTCAGTCTCGCCGTCTGAAGTCCGCAAGGACGGTCCTGGCGCTCTGAGTCTATCTCAGAGAACCGCCTCCATTGCCCGAGAGGGTAGACAAGGCAAAGCTCTGTAGCTATGTTAATTGAATCACTGTCACTGCGAAGACTTCAGCAAGTACTCATGCAAACGAATGTTCCAGCTCACTGCGACGAATGCGAGTGCTTCACCGTCGACATTATTGTCAGGAAAATTGTATTCCCTAAGCAGTCCCGCCTAACTATGCGAAAAAAATACAGTTATGTCCGTGGCATCCCATGGCTATAAACATGTCAAATTAAGGCAAAACCTCGCCCCAGACGACATCGTCTTGCTTGATCATTCCGTCGACTCACCGCAGTCCACCCCTGTACCCGTTCGATTCGAATGTGAACCATGGGGAACCCAAAGTACTGCCTGAAGGCCCTTGTTCGCTAAATATTTCTCCTCTCCTGGATGACTGGAGGCTCAAGTGGTCAACCGTATTTTCTCCCCCCATCCTTCTGTCATTGACTAACCACTTTCAAAATATTGACCGTCACGTCTGACTGGCACGCAGGATGTTCATTTGGCACGGGGATTTCCTGTTCTTGCGGAAAAGTCCAATGAAAGACAAAACGTTGACTATATGAGACCACAATAAAGGACTTCATGCTTCTCATCTGCGAACTACGGTCTTTTGACAGGGCGTTGTTCGTTATATGATTCCGCCGGAGAATGCTGCTGGCTATATACTACGTTTCGAACTTGGAACTTCGCGTCCGATTGGGGACGCCTGCCGGCGATGCTGTAAAGGGTCGTCGCCGCAGAGGGCTCGATCATGTTCTCTGTCAACCCGAAAAGGAGCTCGTCTATAACTTTTCCTTTTAGATTCCCCGTCGGAGTTGACACCACCGCCTTGATTCTGACGAAGTAAACGTGGTTAAGTAAAAAGGGTGAGGAACCCAACGGAGTTCCGTGTCGGGGAATGAACTACCGATGGGACGATTTTTTATTAACCCGGACGTACTGACAGGCCGTGGACCGTGTTAATTCGTAGCGTCATCGACTTGAAACTCGGCTTAGCCGGTAGTGGCCATAACCGGTAGGAGTGCAAACACAAGCGTGGCTCCGATAAACGCAGCTTGACGTCTAAAGACCTTTTCCGGTATGCAGTGGGCCGGATTGTACTATGCAAGTACGCTAGTGTACCGACTGCGTTCGGCTCTCTACGAGGTACTCAGTGGTTAGTCTCCTCATTTCTGCCACGTTCATGCCACTTTTTACTATTTTCCCACACGCTTGCATTTCTTGTGTGTCTGCTGAATTTCTTATTCTAAATTATATATTGACATTAGTGCCTTTTCATTTCTGTAAATATCTCCATTTTCTAATTTGTGACCCTTTGCAAGAATTTCTTTTATCTTTTCCACTTATTCAGGCGTACGTTGCTTCTGATCGGTCAAAGGCAGTACAAACTGGTGAGTAGTTTTTTTACGCTCAAGCCCTCAAACTTCGATTTCCACTCGCAATCTTTCTGGCCACCATTAGTCACAGGTTCTTTTATGTCTCAAGCGTTCAGTAGACTGAAACGTGACATTAGTTGTCACTGGTCTCTGGCTCTTAAGCCCGCTGTGGGTGATAAAAGTTATTCAACAAGAACGAGAATTATAGACGTGACAACTTCGTCAATCACGGAGTGGCTTTGTCCTTGTGCCCTATTTTAGTCATCTGCAGGGCACGTGGTCACTTAGTTCCATTCCTCTCTCTCTCCCGCGTGGAGCCTGGCAGATCAAATATCACTTTAGACGTGCATGAATTCTCGAGCCCCTAGTATCTCTTGTGCATTCCTGATTCCAACGTCCCGAATAGTAGCCACGAAAACGACAACGCGGTTTTGTTCAAGAATGTATACGGCCAGGAGATTATGGCTCACTTTGTCCGCTGGTCACACCCCGCCCACACAGAGTCTGATGTCGAGTTGTCGCGCCGTTCCGTTCGTGTATTTACAAGGACAACTGGCGTATGGAAAGCGGTAGATAACGTCGTAATATTCGCCTACGGTCATAAACGCAATTTCCTTCTTTACATCATTTAAGGGCCTAAACGATGGAGCCAAAGAGAGCCCAAAATAGTTCAACTATTTAGGTTCTGCCAGTAAACGCCCTTTAGGCAACTAGGTGTACGAGCCGGTTAAAGGGACGGGTACGAGTTTCCCAGTCACTGTGCTGACCTGAAAACTAGTTATGCAAAAATTGGACGGACCAAGTCTTCAGTGAATAGGGGGCCCTAGTTAGACCAGCACAATTCCGCTTCAGACTCTCAGAGAGAAACGTCATCATTAAACCTGCCATGAGACCGTGTTACTCGAATTCATGGCATTTTACGCTGTGAATACCCCCAACCTTGCATTCAAACAGGCGCCCTAACTTGTGCTTCCTCGCAACTCGTCAACCCTCATGGTCAAATAGAAGTTCACCTGACAGACCTAATCTAAGACAGATCAACCGAGTATATCATTTTTGCGCGGTCTTGGCGCGAGTACTCTGCATTTTATTTATATGAAGGGGTTTCTGTTTCTTCGTCTAGACTCCAGTATGGAGGACCGTGCAAGTTCGAACCAACTGAAACCTCCAAGAGGCACCCGCCGCCTGCAGTCAGCCGATTTTCAGACTGACTATCTGCAGAACTTATCCACACCACCGGACACACCTCCAGGTATATCTTGCAATTGACATTACACCTTTCTGAAAACCGCTCCTAAACGCCTGACAAGTCTTTTTTTTCTTGGCAAAACAGCCATACTAACAAGCCGGAGAAGCGAAGTTGACGAATTGCCACCGCTCCCTCCCTCTCCGCCTCGTGCAGCCATTCTTGACTTGGGCAATACCAGCCAGGCCTCTACTACCGGGACGGCTCGACGTCGGATACCCTGGACGTTGTCAGAGTCCATAAAACTGTGGCATGGTGCTCATGGGGTCGATAGACCCTCATGGGCTAACATTTGGCAGAGGTACTTCCGATCCTCCCGAAGGACCCCTGTAGACCTGAAGGATCGTTGGCGAGTGATTTCTCGAAATGTGGAACTGCAGGAACACTTGCGTCGTGTGTACGAACAGTGGCTTGTTTCGGCAAACACCACTTCCGTGGATACAGGACCCACCTGATTGATGAACAATCACCAACTCTTGAATTACAGCTGTATAGATAATATTTGTGTGCGTTTATATACCGTAATCTTCTCAGTCTCCATTTTCATTCTATCCACCACAAGGACTTCATCACGGTCTCCCCTTGTGCGCCTCTATCGTTACTTAGGGACATCTTTGGGCTGTAAAACACTGCCTCTTTTGAAACTTTCACGGAGTCAGTTGCGCGAAACCCCAGTCTCCATGGGACACTTGGCCGCCAAAGTAACCGTCATTGCATATTCGTCTTATGTCATGGCTTCCGAGATAGTGTTGGTTAATTCAGTTTAAAGTGCATACCCTGTATGACCTTGCATTGATTTAAGAAGTTTCAGTGGATTCAGAGGGACCACGCGCGCCTGATTGAGTTAGTTCGAAATTTCAGCTGCGTTTAATCTGTTTAGGATAAGTTCCGGCCTACAGTGACAGAAGTTTTTTACCGGCCCAATGTTTCGCAGTCCAGAACGACCTGGAAAGTGTATTCGTGCGATAAGTCGGAGCTAGTCCTGCTTGTCTTGGGGAGTTTAACTTTAAAGCCAGCTTTTACCGCCCTTCCAGTCGTGCAAGACAGCAGGTGTGGGCGTTATCTAGCACATCAGCGTCGAAGGCACAGCCAGGATCCAAGTGCGCCGACCGCGGTCGAATGTGACACCCAGCTGGCCATCCAACGTTCATTTCGGACTCAGGCTGTTGCGCGGTTAGTGCTTTTAAAAGAAGAAAGCTTCTAGGGGGGCCAGGGCCGAAGCCACTCAACAGGGATTCAGCTCACATTTTACTGTAGGAGACCACAAGTAACCGAAGCAAATTTCGTCACTATAGGACAACGCTATCAAGCAAAGGGGTGCGGCTAGATTAATTACGATGGAAAAAGTAACCAAACCCTAGTACAGTGCTGATAGGGATAATGATGTTTAACGTTTGGCCAGATAATCTTTAGAACATCCACGGCTGACCCGAAGCTGTATTGACGTCTTTGTTGCACCACTTTTACTAACTCCGGTCGGGCCTTGCAGTCCTTTGTTTAGCATTGCTGGTCAGCACTTGCAAATTTCCAAAAGAAGACAGATTTTGGCGGTTGCTTTGTCCTTAATTTGGGCGGTTGCATTAGCCGGAGCTACTCTTACAGTATGTGACCTATCTCATGAAATGTTAACTTGGATTCTGATATGCGCTTCCGCCTAGAAGGGATTACTTCGGCATGGTTGTAATATTCATTATCACGCAGCACAATCTCCAGATACCTGCTTAAGAATGAGCTTCTATCCGACCACCGGCCAAAGCCACGTTTGGTAAATGACCGCTTAAGTAGTATGCATTCGCACCGTCGATTTTTCATGCTTTTACGAGTTCAAATATACCTTATAGAGAATGGGCGCGAAGGTATTCTTGTACTCATTTGGTAGACAATTACCTCTCCTTCGGATTTTATACTTGAAGAAAGTGCAACTTCTGGTTCTAACATAAGCTTGTTCTTGTGGTATACTTTCCTCATAGTGAAAAACATTCATTTCTTCATTCCATTAAGTATATGCTATATGGGGTTCGGAAAGTTTTGCAGCGGATGTGGAGTTGGATTTAGGCATATGGCCAGGCTTTTAGTTAAGTTTGCTGTTAGGGTTGAGGTGAGGGTAAGGGCCAAGGTTAGGTTTGGGACCACGATTAGGGTTAGGGTTAACTTTAGGGTCGGAGCTAGGGTTAAGGTCGGGCTTGGGACTACAGTTAGGGCTAATGTCAGCATTCAAGTTAGGAGTAGGGGTCGATGAACTGCCCCGCTTATGATTGAGTTGAGGTTTATATGTCGTTTTACGGTTGATTTAGTTTTGGGGTTTGGGTTACCCTTTGTGGGTGCTGTTTGCCGCCGTTGGAGTGTCCCTCAGGTGTTTCGCCTGCGATGGCATACCCTGTTCGTTTCCCGCCTACGTCTTCCTTATCATCCTTTGCTTGCGTCTACCTCTCCTCGGCCTCCGGCGGTTGGGTTTCCTGCATGGTAGTCTCCTTGCGGTAGACTACATACGCGATGTCTTAGTGGTTACAACATGTCCCTAATCCGCACTTGCCGCTAGATACAGTTGGCGATTTATTCGTTCCCCATCCACCTTCTGCTGTCCGGGCGATGAACTACATCACCTTGCATTTACTCAGCGACACACCGTACTCGCCAGCCACTGTTTTTCGCCGACACCCTTCTTCAGGTACCTCCGACCGGTCCATTCGCTTTCCAATTTTCAGCCCTTTTGTGTCATACCACATTTACATTTTCTATTAACGATGCCGTCCTCCCGCTCATATACCTCGGGCCCCTATCTGCGCTGCACCGCGGTTTAGTCTTACGCTTGGATTCCCTTCTCGTTCATTGGCTCAGCCATTACCCCCGATTTCTTTGCTCCTACAATTGGTTATATCACCACCCACGTAACGCTTTGTCTGTGACACCTTCCATTTAATCAGTCCAACTTTTACCCTCCTCCTTTTCGCTCGCTTATTTTCCGTTGAGGTGCATTAGCAAAACGAAAGATCGGGCATTAGAGACTGCTTTATTTCTACAGTTACCATAAGCTTCCATCCGGTTGCAATAGTACTCACCGTGTGTTGCCTTGGTTTGTGTCGCCCCCTTTTCAGTACTCCTGTATAGGTTTCCTCATGCGTTTTGCTGCTCGGCGGTCGTCGTCCGGTTCCTTTCAGTTCAGTTTATTTGAGGGAAATATAGGTGTTGAACCTTTGAACTCCCTATTTGTTACAAGGAAGCGAACTATATCAAAAATTTGAAATGGAAACATCAAACAGCTACAGTCTTCAGATTGGCAAAGTTTTCGTGCCAGACAGATAAACGAATTGTTCCAAAATTAAAAACATTAACGTTACTAAGTGTGCTGTACAGTAGTCTGTCTATGGATAGTTGGTGCTATCTCAGTTTCTGAGGGAGACGAAGATGACAACACGCATTCAACAGACATAGGACAATAATAAAAAACAAACCTTACTGAAATACAGGCAGTAATATAACAAAATTAACAAACTGTTCGAAATGCTAGACGTCGTCGGTCAGGTGGCATTATGACGTCCGGTGGTACACTGGTCCAACTTGCGCTTAAAAGCGTCGGCGGAGGTGGACATGACGACATCTGTAGGCAGAGCATCCCAGGCCTCGATCACTCTATTTGAGAAGAAGAACTTCCGAATGTCCAGCTTGGCGCCTGTTACGCGTAGCTCAAGTGGATGACCTCGGAAGTTCGTTGTGGTCGCTAACTCAAAGAAATCAGCAGGTACGAGACAGCAGTCGTGGCCGCGCAGTATACGGAATGTTTGTATAAGGTCGCCTCTTAACTGTTTGTAACTCAGTGGAAAAATTACGAGATTGGACAATCGTGTTTCATGGGGTAGTGAACCCTGTCCACTTACGAGTTTGGTTGCCCGCCTTTGGACTTTCTCAAGGATGCTGAGGTCTTTAGCGGTCCAGGGTTTCCGCGCCTGAATAGCGAACTCTAGCTGTGGCCGTAGGAAAGTCCGAAAGACTTTAACGAAGCAGTTCTCATCGAAGGCAGAGAAAGCTCTTTTGACAAGATAAAGGACTGACATCGCAGACTTGGCTACCTTGGAGCAGTGGAGCGACGGTTTTAGAGAAGCTGTTACCCACACACCCAAGTCTTTCTGGGCGTCTACCTCCTGCAGTGGTACGTCATTTCGGTAGTAAACCCTCTGACTTAGAGATCGGGTACTGCAGACTCGCAAAACATTGCACTTAGTCACATTAAACGGCAAAAGCCAGTACTGTGACCATTTCTCGAGTCGCGTCAGGTATGCCTGCAAGCGCTCTTCGTACAATTCAGTTCGGATAACGCTCCAAAGTTTAACATCATCAGCGAACATGGCGTCATCACAATTCAGTTCACTGGCACAGTCGTTGACGTATATAATGAACAAGGTAGGGCCAAGAACGGAGACTTGCGAAACACCGCTTTTGACCGCTATCTCCGCCGACTGCCTGTCACCTACGTGGACGATTTGAGAGCGACCGACCAAGAAACTTTGTATCCACCTCAAGAGATTACCCCTTATGCCTGTCCGGCTTAATTTGTACAGGAGACGCTGATGTGGTACACTGTCGAATGCCTTCTTAAAGTCGACGTAGACTGCGTGTACTGCGTTGCCGCCATCGACTGCCCGGGTCCAGCGATCTAAACAATAAAGTAGATTTGTCACGCATTATCTGCCTCTACGAAATCCTGCCAGGCATCGCATAGCAGATTATGCTCTTCTAGGAGGTGCGTTGAAGTCCCCCATAATTAAGACGTCGGACCGGATAGAGAATCTCTCCAGGTCCTCAATCAGACGGGCGTCCGCCGTGGGATCATTTTTCGGCGGTCGGTAGACCGTCAGGACGTCAAGGTTCGGTGAACCCGGTGCTTTTATAGTTAGCCAAATTGCCTCAGAAGTACACGAAAGTTTATCTGTTTTGTCTGAGACTATAAGCCCATGTTTTACATACGTGAGTACACCTTTCACCTATCATTCCTCGTGGGTCTATTTGCGGTTCCCTCCTTCTTACAATAGCAGTGGCCTTGGTTCTAGAACACATTAGGCGCAATAATTAGGGCTCATTTATCACTGTTAAATAATTTCCTACGTTTTCGGAACATACCGTGACTTTTTTTGCGTCTTTTTTGCTACGATTTCGTAGCTTAGGTTTTACTTTCCATCCCTTCCCATACAGCTGTTTAGGCTTTATCGCTATTTTCATTACTTTTGGAAACTTCACCCTTTTCTTGCCTTACAATCACCGTTTTCGCGTTCTTCGTTGGTTTACTGTTACTACGCTAATCTGGCACTCGCTCCCTACGGCATTGGCGTCCCCAGTTCATTCCCATTGGTTATTGGCTTATTCGGTCCAGTTTCAGTGAACTTGACCGTCCAATTATGTGGCCTTTTTAGGCGTTTTTTGGTTTGTAATATCAGGGTTACCTGTCGGTTTAGTTTCGTCT